GACCCTGGTTTATGATACAATGCGCGCTTAGGTATCAAAAAATAGCCCTGAATTTCAGCTATTTTTTGATACCCCCGCGGCCTCATTTTTGAAAATACAGGCGCTTTGAAAAAAATGAAATACTAAAAAACTTTTGCGACTACGCGACTGTACGAGGGGAATGGGGTACTATTAGCTTATTTACGACAGACCAATAAATGACCCAGTTGCGCAAATAATTTTCAAATTCAGTAAAAAGATTGAATATTCAGTCAAAAAGCGAAATCTAATTTTACTTTACTTATATTTTTAGCAAATAATTCGTTATGCGGAAATGAAATATACGGTAACGTATCCAAGAGTGTTCGTTTTATCGAAGTTCGTTATATCGAAGGCTGTTTCTTAATATTTTTGTTAAGCGGGTTCCGAATTTAGAGTTCCTTATATCAAAGTGTACGTTATATCGAACGTTGTTACAACAAAGTTTGACTGTATTTATTTAGGAAATCCCCTCGAAACAATGGCGCACGACTATAACCCGAAAGCGATTGCGCGTGATTGGGAACCGCCGTGGCAAAAGTCGTTCAGGTACTGAATTTTTGAGCTACTTATCTCGAATTAATCTGATAATCAGAATTAAAACAAAAGCTACATAATTAATCAAATCCATTATTGGACTTTAGCAAATTCTTGACGGAATCTACGTGAATTTTGATCAATTGAGACGAATCCGAGGTTGGCGTAAAACGGATTCAGTCGTTTTTCATGCCATCGCACAAATCGTACCTCGATTTCATTCTCTTGTCCACTAATGTGCTTTGATCAGGTGCGTGAAATGGTAGAGGAAATCGCTCAAAATTGTTTCTGGGTTAAAATTTACATTAATATTTCATCATTTCAGAACGTTCCCCTTCCAGCGATCGCCGCCGGAATGGACTTTATGAACTCGAAATTTATGGGTGAAGCGTTGCGCAAATGCGGCGCTTTTTTGATTCGATCGATCGTTTGGAACAGTTGGATTTGTTTACTGGAACAGTTGGAAACCTGAATTTTCAGGACAAACTTTATTAGGCGTTGTTCACTGAATATGTTCAATCACAGATCGTCAACTCGCGGATCGACCGTTGGAAAATTTTGTCGAAGGAACGAGGAGTCCAGTGGAAAAGGTGAGTGTTTGAGGGCAACTTTCAAAAGATCTATCGAAAACCAATCGGAAATAGATGAATGCTCAATAATTCATGGACAAGTGTTATCTTTTAGACATACTACAATGAGAAAAGTTCGAAGTTACCATGCAATTTCATGCAATTTCCAGAGTCTCTTCCCCAAATACGGCCTGATTAAAGTGATACTCCAGTCATATTTACGAGACCGTGTTTATGATGTGGTAAGAAGGAAATTTGTTTCCAAATAAAAATTCATTTCCTCCTCTTTCTTCCTTCCTTTCTTTCTTTCTTTCTTTCTTCCTTTCTTCCTTTCTTTTTCCCTTCCTTCCTTCTTTTCTTCCTTTCTTTCTTCTTTATATTCCCTTCTTTCTCTTGGCAAAGTAAAAGTACGGATAGCTTGAGTAATTGGGGCAATTGCCCGGTAAGCAAAAAGTCACGGTTTCAATCCCTGGAATCAACTTTGCGAGAATTTCAAAAAATTCTCTTTATTAGATGGTGGAACGCAGTTGCAATCAACTACGATAAAATTTTGGAAGAGATTCTGTACAGCTACGAGTTGTTGGGCTTTCCGAAACCGAAAGAGTCGACTGACGATATTGCGATGTGATAAATACTGTAATTTAGCCTAATTTATATATAATTTATAGCGCAAAATAGAAGCTCGGTTAAGATAAAAAAAAATGAGCCTTTTATCCGTAATTGAAGTATATCCACAGTTGCTGAATTGGATTGATTTTTGACCATACTTTGTGTTCTCCTAAACGTACACCCTCTGGCACACTGGATCCTATCATTTGGGGTCTTTTCAAAGCGATGAACATTCTCAACGAGCGTTTTGGTAAATGCTATGTGAGCATTTTGCGAGCCGATCAGCGTTCGAAAACATTTCGGTCTTTCGCTTCACCGAGCCGCCTTTTGTTTGTCAGGTTTGTCAGGTTATTCTATTGCTAAGGTACAATCCTCAAAAATAGTCTACCAGTTTTGTTTTATATACAAATTTTCCAGCCAGACTCTCAATTCGTACTCTCCGATCGAAAAAAGAGAAGCAATTCGAAAAGTTAGGACATTTAATCGTCCGAGAGCACAACAAAAACTCGGTGATCTCTGTTTGGCCGTTTGCATGTCAAACATTGTTGAAGGTAAGCGCTTGAAAATGGAAATGTATCAATAAAGAAACTGAAAAGCCTAAGAGAAATGGTTAAATTTCAACAGTTGCAGCTGAGTTTAGTATCTGGAAGATGAGCATCTTGAAGAGTTCGATTTCGCTCAATTGTTGACCGAAGTGAAAAAGCAAGGCATACTGATGAGCAAAATGGGGATCGAGCTGCAAATTGATAAGAGTTTAGAAGAGGATTTGAGGTAAGTAAAGTAAAACTTTAAGTATAAACTCGATATTTTTGTAGATACTATGTTGCTCTTCACGATGATCTCTTTGCGCCGATCGATCACACGAAAGAGACGTTCGCGATGAAATTATTGGATCATCCAATAGAGAAATCGGTGAGTTTTCAAGTCTGTATTTTAAATTCCAGTTCATTTTAAAATCTAAGATCCATTTTTAAATGCTGAATCGTGTAAGAAACGAAACAAATTCTAGGGTTATCGGATATTTAATACGCGCTCCGCCATTGGCAATCTAACTTTGAGCTCAAATATCTTGGTGTTCAATTGAAATATTCTTGGTGTCATTGGATGCGCCGATTGGCGATTTCTCTGTCGATTGGTGCAAAAACTATTTAAATTGGACAGCCGAACACCAAGATATTTGAGCTCAAAGTTGAATGGCCAATGGCGAAGGGGGCGGGGCAAATGTTCCACAATCATATTCTAGGGAGCCATCGACAAACAAGTGATGGAGAAGAGTGTCGGGCGGATTGTGCTCAGCAACTATGCGAACAAGGTCAGTCGGACACTAGCAGCTCTATTCTTAGGACCGATTTTTCAGTCCCATAATTATAGGTGCAGATAAAAAGCTTTATCGGTAGACAAAATTAATTTTGTCTTTAGAAACTTTTGAAAGCAAACTTTTATCTTAAAATCTTTATTTGATATCAATGAACAACAAATTAGTGATTAGCTTCAAAGCGATTATCATTTTTTAGCCGAACACGCTGTCAAGCGTTTAGGAAAGACTTTAAGGCTTTTTCAGAGAAAAAGTTTTTGCTCCCCACACTAAAATGCACTAACTTATCGTAACTCGTCAATTCGTCTTCTTTCTTCAAAAGGCTGTCCAGAAAATTAACTAATGATGCCCAATAAAAATAAAAAAAGTTAATTCCAAGTTCTTATTTTTGTTTCGACATTGGCAAGTTCTCCATCGCCCTTTCATTTTAATAAATAAAATCCTTTTAATAAAGTGATATGTTCAAAAAAAATCTAAAATAAACTTAACTTTGATTCCAGATGTCAAGTTGATAAGAAAAAAACAAAAATAAGGGGTGGGACAAATGCGACCTTTTTTTGCGCACCTGGACATTTGCGAACCTTTTTTTGCTGGAAAAGGCCTTAGGCAAGGCCGTAGAGCTTCGAAAATATTTCCATATAAGGGAATCGTATGTGTAGATTCCGAATTTCGACAAATCAGACCTCGCTGACACGTCAAATTTGGGCTAAAAGGCAAAAACTGCGGAAAAGCGTTAAGTTGCGTAGTTTTTGCCTTTTAGCCCAAATTTGGCGTGCCAGCGAGGTCTGATTTGTCGAAATTCGGAATCTACGCATACGATTCCCTTCTATGAAAACATTTTTGAAGCTCTACGACCTTTCCTAAGGCCTTTTCCAGCAAAAAAAAGGTTCGCAAATGTCCAGGTGCGCAAAAAAAGGTCGCATTTGTCCCACCCCCAAAAATAATCAAAAAAAAAACAAAGAAATCGCGAATGGCTAATTGCCAAAAAAATTGGAGGGTTACGGTAGTTTAGTGCATTTTACTGTGGTGATCAAAAATTTTTCTCTGAAAAAGGCTTCAAGTTTAGGAAAGGCGTTTACGGTGGCGACTAGGTAAGCATAATCGAGTTCATCCCAGGCTTTTAGAAGATTTTTCTTCAAACTTTCAACATTTTTATGCGGTTTTGCGCAGGCTTTTACCTTAAGGATGGACCAGACAGAATAATCGATCGTAGATCCAACGAGCTGGGTCAAGATTCAGAAAAAGAGATGAAATCGGGAAACTCCACTTTATAAAAATCTTGAACTTTCTTGGTTTTGTGGGCCGAAGTCCCGTCTTGTCCAAATTTGATTTTTAAAATGCTTTTGTGCCCAATGCAAAATTTCAGCTTTGTGAAGATTGGGATAGTTAATAATAATAGATAAAAAGTTACTGTACCTATAATTACCGTCTTCTCTCTAATAGTAGTGCACCCCGCCGAGCCGAGTTGATGACTATTTTACGGTTTCGAAGTTGTCCGCAGAAGCTCAACACTTAAATCTCCCACAAGATCTCATCGTCAGCTACATTTTTCGACCCCACATCGATAGGTTCTGATAAGCGGTTTTCGAGATTTCGAGCAATTTAGGCAACGCTCACGGTGCACTACTATTAGAGAGAATACATACCGTAAATACCGTAAATACCGTAATAGTACCCCACCCCCATAATGACGGTGCGGAGCGTTGTGTAGTCTAGCTTTGAACGAGTTTTTCTCGACACTGGTTTATGCTACAATGCGCGCTTAGGTATCAAAAAATAGCCCCGAATTTCAGCTATTTTTTGATACCAAAGACGCATTTTTTGAAAGTACGGGCGCCTTGAAAAAAATGAAATACTAAAAAACTTTTGCGACTACGCGACTGTACAAGGGGGGTGGGGTATTATTACAGTATTTACGGTAGTACTGTAGGTGACTATGATTTTTCCAGATGATGCACGAGGTGGCCGACTCGGCGCTCATCTCGCTCGTTCTTTCAACAATACAAGATCACAAGCAAAATGTCGTTTACTCGAAATTTATGTAATATTTCTTTTTACTTTTTAATATAATAAGTAAACTCTATGCTTATTTAGATATTTACAAGCGGCGTTAGCTCGAGATTTCGTTTGTGTTCCCGGTGAGGAGTTTCTCTCGTTTTCAGCCGCTCTCAAACAGCTCACTCAATCAAAGGTTTATAAAATTTCTATTTCACATCTAAAACTAAAAAAAGCAAAAATTTAAATAAGAATTTAATTCAAACTGAAAGTTCAAATAATATTTCGTTTTTAGATTCTGGAAGTTTTCGAGGACGAACTCAGAATCCTTGATTTGGAAGCTGTCAATTACTTGGGCGGTCTTATCAAAGTGAGAATGTTTTTTCGTTTCAAATCTGATTTCTAAAATATAATATAATGTCTAAAGATAGTATTTTGTGTAAAAAAAATCAACTGTATGCTTACTTTTTAGCCCTCATTAGCTGCCTTCAACATCGTATTGAGCGTTTTGCAAGAGTGCGGTGATCGCTATGTGACATTGGCACAGATCGTGACACTCACACAATTAGTGGGTTTATAAACTAACAAGAATCTTTGACAACTAAGTATTGGAGCTTTATTTCTAAACTTTTTTTCTAGAAAGCGGCCACATTGTGGTCAAAAAGGATCCCATCGATTAGAGCCTCTTTTCTCTCGACGGATCCAATAAAAAACGCTTTCTTCACCCTTGAAGACTACAAGATTTTGATAAAAAAGGTAATTATTTGATGTAAAATACACGCATTTCAAATGTTCAAGGGTTAAATGTGAAATTGCAGGCTAAAAACTACGAGGTGATCTACCAAGAGCTGGACAAAGTCGTTCACGAATTCGCCGCTTATTTGAAAACCCCAAGTGCAAGAAGAAATAGACTTTAGAATTATCAATATTTTGGAAATGTCATAATAAAACAAAAACTTCTTTTAAAACAAAAGAAACTTATGGAAAATACATGAATTTTTAGGTAAAAAATGGGCTTTTGCGTTTTCAGTTTAATAGCTGAGCAAAAACAACTCTACTAAAAGTAGGGAAAGTGAATGTATTCTTTTAAAAAGTATACATTTATTTAATATGAATAACGTGATAAAAATAAAGACAAAACTCAAAACAAAAATACCCTCTAAAAATGTTTGCAAAGAACGGCAGCTACTTAATGCTTTTTTCATCCAGATTTTCGTTATCAATCTTTTGCATGAGTTTTTGTATTTGAAAAGCTTCTTTGATAGTTTAATGAAATCATAATACAAGCGAGTTTCGATAAAACGAATTTGAAATTCTAAAATGTGCCCAAAATTTCTGCGTAGCTGCCCCAGCTAAATGCAATCGTTCAGGGCAGCTATGCAGAACTTTAGATTCGCTATATCGAGTACCGACTGTAGTTGAATCTTAAAGCAATTCCCTGAAGTGAATGCCCGTGGCAACTTAGATGTTCTAAATGCTAGTGAGCTGGTGCACGACTTTTGGATAGATCAATTATGATCCGTCAACAATGATCCGGTTATCTTACAACAACGTGTCTGTACGTACATTACTGGAAAAAAAAGAGCCAAATCTTCCAGCAGCTGGGCTCGAGCCCGTGACCTCTCTGACTAGGATACAAGACTCCTAACCACTCGGCTATGACGGCACAAAAGAGCTCGCGAAAGAATCAGCTTGATATTTCAAAAACAGAAACCAAATCCGTTTTTTTTGTGCTGAACAATTCCTGTTCAGCTTATCTCATTTTTTTGTTCACCCCAAAATTTACAACTAAATTTACAAGCGATAGAATGGGAAAATTCGGGGTGTTTCAAAGAATCTTTTAAATAATCTTTATTGATTTAAAACTGGTAATATTATTAGAGCAGCATAATAAGCACCATGTACATAAAATTTTCGCTATTCACCGTTTGTTGTGTCATCAATGTTTCGTTTGGTTTGCAAATTCTTTCGCAAACACAAACGTTGTGCGGATTGGGCGATGATCGGTTTGTCAGAAAGATTTCGAAGAGTTTAAGCATGAATTGTTTGCAGGAGAATGCTCATCTTCGACATTTGCCCAAATCAGTGCAGCAATACCACAAATCTGCTCACCCACGAGACGACGTATCAATGTGCGAAGCTTGGGGTCAGTTTCATCAAATTTAAAAGTTCTAGAGCTTGTTGAAAAACTTAAACCTCTCAGAAATGTCCAATCGGCAGTAGCTGCTCGACGCGGGAACACTCGGTGACGTGTTGTTGCAGTGCGAATTTCTGCAATATTGGCAAGGAGCCTAATCCGCCACCCGATAAAAGTAAGTTAGACAAAATTATTAGGCTTTCGTACTTTTGTTTAAAACCAACAATTGAACTATTTCATTAGAAAGGTCAATTATTTTTCTGTAAAATAACATTAAAACGGGTTTAAAATGTCTTCTGTCTGGATCTTTTTTGGGAGTGTAAAGTCGGGTAGTCAAAAAGGGGATGCGGTTTAGACATTTTAGCTAAGAAAACCTATCTTCGTGTCAATAGATAAAAGATAGAGCACAAAAGTTAGGTATAGAGGCAAATTTTCAGAGAAATACATTCAGCCAATTCCTTCGTAGAGGTTTTTATAGTTTTTGACGAAAAACGACGTGTTTTCACTGTCGAATTTGCTTGTAAATGAACCGAAATTGACTTAAAAAGATGAAAATTTGAACAATAAACACTTTTTATTTAGAGTAAGCCATAGGCGAATTGATGAATTTGTTATTTTTTAGTACGAAAGTACGAAAAGAAACGTAAAAACTTTCTGGACAGCATACAAAGTTGAGAAGTTGCGACTAAGGCAGATCAAAAACACGCCCGGGACTCGAACCCTCGACCTTTCGCTAGCCGGACAACTGTGCTAATCATTACACCACAACGCACTTCATCTCCCTTACTCCAGTGGGAGTTAACTGAGAGTTTAAGAGCAACAGTACTCATTTTGGTACTTTCGACTATTAGGTTGGCAAGAAAGTTCTTGGAAAAAGTTTGCTCTCTTAAAATCAATCAAAATTAATCAAAATCAATCAAAATCAATCAATCAAATTTCTCAAAAAGCAAACCAAGAATTCTTTCCAGATTTTTTGATAAACTTGACCATATTTCAAAAAGTTTTTGACAAAAAAAAGTTTTAAAAATAATTCAGGTAAAAAAGAGATTTCTTCAGCTGAAGTGACTTGGTCACTTTTTAAGTGCCCAGCCTTTAGACAAGTTTTTAATGGGTTAATGAATAGGCAATGAGTCTCATTCAAAACCTAAAATCGGACCTACTTAAAATAGGGAAAATCTTTTGATTAAGACAAATTTAATCTGATTTAAACTTTTCTAAGTTTAAACTTTAAATTTAAACTTTTCAGAATCACCTATTTTAGCAAACACTCCGTGCCGAGAAGATGACACGAAAAAAATGATTTTTTTGAAATACAGCTTCTCTGTAAGAAAAATTTTTGACCAAAAATAGAGATTATAGAGCGTATTGCTCATTTATGCGCTAGCTTTACCTCATAAGGAATTGTTTTTCTAGTGCAAAAAGTGAGCTGGAAATTCTTACGCTGGAAATTCTTAAGCTGTAAATTCTTAAGCTGAAAAATAATCATTTTTCAAAAATCTCTAAAATTTTAAGGGAAATCTGCACTCATTTTTTTACGAGTAATTTCTTCGAGTCGACTTGTAAATAATAGAATAAAATGTTTTTGAATTGGTGGATTCGTTTTTAAGAAATTCGAGTTAAACTTTTTTCGAGAACTTTCTTTCCAAACTAATGTTTTCTACACCACGCCAAATTTGCATCTCAAAAAACGAAAGGTAAAATAGATAAAGCAATCGATGTTAGAATGGAATATGATTGCAAAAGATGAATCGTGTTCGAGATTCGTTCTAGGTAGATCAAAAAGCCGCATTTGGATGAGAAGCGAATGAAAAAACGGTTTTGGCGTGTAGAATAGTCAAAATTGCCCTAATTTTTTAATATTTACAACGTTTAGCCACCCTTCGCCCGCTAAGCCCAGGAACCACTCATCAAACGACGACGCGAGTCACAAAAATTTCTTCGCAAACCACGACAGTAATCCCTTCTGCTGATAGCACAACTACAGGTAGATCCAAGGCCAGATCTATATGCAAACTACTGCACTTTAGTCTTAAGTTATCTTTGAAAATTTCACAGATTTGACTCCAACTACATCTATTCTCCAACCGAATCAGGATCACCAATTCGTGTGCTTCACCGGAGTCACCCTCGGTTTCCTGCCGTCGGATAGATGGACCACTGGAGCGCTGACGGTGTGTGAAGGTTAGTGAGAAGAAAAACGATCATAATATTTGATCAGTACAGTTTTAATCATTCTAACTATAAGCCATCTTCAGGTATTTGCACAAACATCAGCCTTGCTTTATTCTATGTGCCGATCACCGCCTACATTTGCGATGTGAATCAGCTGTGCACGAATTGGGCGATGAACTCGTGTGATTATATTTCACAGGGTATCAATTTTAAGTGGTTTAAACTCGTACAATATCAATACAATATCAATATTAATGAATATCTTACTAGATTTTTACTAATCTTCTCAACTTCAGGCACCCCGATGACGATGTGTTGTTGCAACTCGTCATCCACTTGCAATGTCGCCTCATCCACTCCACTCCCTTCACCCTTACCATCGGTTTCAACAAAAACCGAGACGAATAACACGTGCTTTATTGGGTTTTCTTTTCAAAATGAGGTAACACAATTGAATTAGTCTGACAAGAGCTCCACTCCCAAGCTCAAGCCAAGCTCAAGATCATTTACAGGTGCCAGTGACGATGAACGTTTCGATTCCAGCCAATCTACCGGTCGGGAATTTTGAACTCTGTGGGGGAGACTGTGCGAATATTACTCTAGGTAATAAAGTATCGTATTTATTCTAATAGAAGCTATTTTGTGATGGTGGTTGAAAAAAAAGCGCAACCTCCAATAGAAGCAATATGGATATCCAGCTTAGTAGACCGAATACCCTGAGTTTTGAGGCTTTAAGGATATATAACGATATATAGTCATTTCCTTGGGAAAAATTTACATTCTTTATCATTTGTTTTGAATAAGAAATGACAATTTTGATGAGTTTTTTTGTGTGTAAGACCAAAATGATCAATTCAAGGCGACTTTGGCACTCTCTACACTTGCGATCCGATCTCTGTTTGTGTTGGGCTGACGATAAGGGACAATTGTAGTGATATTGTGAAAGGATTGTTGACAGGTTTGTCTAGACTTGTACAAATACAATGATACTAACTGATCGGTGAAGCTTTATTACTTTATCTGACAACGAGTACCAATCTTTTGAACCCGGCACAAGGTCAACTTGCCATAGAATATCTTTGTGTCACCGATAGTGAGTCAGATATTAGATCTAATAGCGCTATTGAGTACTTTCAGGCTGCTGTTGCTCGAGTCACAACTGCAATCTCCACAATCAGACTCAGCCATTCAAAACAACGACTTCATCGAGTCATCTCTTCACCGGAGAACCGCTCGTTGTCATTCCAAAAGGCGTCGGCTCAAATTTTTCAGTATTCTTTTTTCTTTTCATCATGTGTATATTTGTAAATAGTTGAAGATCTTTTCAGAATCGTTTATTTACACTATATACAACAGCAGTATGCTGGAATGAGATCAAATTTTTAACATTAATTGGAAGACTGTTAGAAAGTAACTAATAAAAAGCTTGAGTACAACATTGTCACAGTTTCAGAGGGAGAAATTTTGTTGAAAAAACGAAGAATGTTAGCAAGAGAAATGAAAGATAAAAATCTATGATTTATATGCAAATTCTTCAATCATCCTGAGTATTGGCCACTTCTTCTTCCTCATCGTTTGGTGTCTCATCATCAACAGGACCTCTCT